GATGGGAGGATTCACAGTGGACACAAATTCCAGAATGGCCCATCTCAGTATTGCAGGAATTGCAAAGGTGAGAAATCAGCTTTTAGACTTCCTCGCTTATGGCTTTTTTTTTTTTAAGTTTAAAATAAATTGTTTAATATCTTATGTTATTTTTTAAATGCCTGATGCCAATAATTATATCATTTTCAAAATTAAGATGACAGTAGAATGTACTTTCCATCCTTGTATGATCCTAAAATTTGATAGAAGTAAAAAAGAAGAACTTATGTATCAGAGGGAGGAAGAAAAGGGTGAAATACAGGCAGACCAAGAAGAAATTTCAAGAGGAAATGTGGGGAAAGTCTGTACATGATGGTGTGCACATAACCATAGCCTCCTTCCTTATTAGCCCCACCTAGGATTGTACAATCTATGGACTCTGAGGCCAAAGAATAAGGGCAAGACAGAGGCAGACTTTCAAAATGAATTTTATCAGGTGATATTTCACCAGGTATATAAACCATGCATGGCACTAGTGGAGGTGCCTGTCCAAAATACCTCTGTTCTCATCTGTGGAATGCTGTACACACCCTCAAAAACTTGTTTTTGTATGGAAACACAGAAAATAGCTTCACCTTAAATACTTACTATATTTCCATTGATTTTTTTTAGGTGGGCATTTGGACTTACAGTCTAAAAGCCCAAGTAAGTCCAGAAACATTAACTATCACGGTAACTTCGCGGGCGTCAAATTCTTCTGTGCCTCCGATCACAGTGAATGCTAAAATGAATAAAGACACAAACAGCTACCCTAGTCCAATGATTGTTTATGCAGAAGTTCAGCAAGGGTACTTCCCCGTTCTTGGAGCTAATGTGACTGCCTTCATTGAATCACAGTCTGGGAAAATGGAAAGTTTGGAACTTTTGGATAATGGTGCAGGTAATTCATAGATTTTTTAAATAAGCATATATTTTCATAAACAGGGCTCTGTAGCAGTGTGGGGCAGTAGGACAGGCACCAGAAGAATTGATGCAAATGATCAAAGAACATCAGGGGAGGCAGGAAACTCTGTTCAGGTGATCCCTACAAAGTGCTTAGCACAGTGTATTCCAGATGGTAAGCACTCACTAAATGTTAGCTATTGTTACCATTATTGTTTGTCATCTAGACAACCAATGTCTAGTTGTCTTAAAGCAGTGGTTCTCAAACTTTAGTGTCCATATGAAACAACTGGATAGTTTGTTAAAACACCAATTGCTGGGCCCATCCCCAGAAGGCCCAGGAATCTGCATTTATCACAAGTTCCAGAGATACAAAGATGCTGCTGCTGGTCCAAGGACCTCATTTTAAGAACCTCTGACTTAAGAGTGTTAAAATCCCTGGGAATTGTGTTTGCAATTTAGCAGATAATTCCAATGCTGGTAATATCAAGAAATATACCTATAATACCCTATCCCCCTGTTCGCTCAAATTTTTATCCTAATAGTAAAAAAGGTTTTCCACTGTCAGAGAGGGAATTAATGGAGCAGTAGAGCAAGAGCTGAAGCTTCAAAAAAAAAGGGGAGTGATTGAGGATAAGTCTAATTAGGTATTTTGTAGTTGACTATGGTGAGAATTAAATCCTAGGCAGACACTTGTTCTTTAGTGAGGAGCCTATGGAATTGAACAGAAGAATGACCTCATTAATGGATAAAGTAAGCTGAAGGTAGACTGATTTGCTGGGAAATCAGTAAGAAAGGTCCTATAATAATGTATATGTAAAATAATAAGGGCCAGAATGGTGAGATATTTATTTTGCATATACATATAAATGTGTGTATTTATATATATATATACACATCAATCATAATAACTCAAGGATATCAATTCAACAAGATACCATCTTCTGGCAGAGCATAATGAAACTATTCTCCAAGGGGACAGTCTCAATGGGACAAGATACATATATTTCTGTTTTTCTTTGCTATAATAATTTATTCTTTCACTCCTATTACAAGGTGCTGATTCTTTCAAGAATGATGGGGTCTACTCCAGGTATTTTATAGCTTACAGACAAAATGGCAGGTATAGCTTAAAAGTGCAGGCTCAAGGAGGAACAAATGCTGTCACGCGAAGCTTAAGGCATCCACTGAATAAAGCTCTCTATATACCAGGATGGGTGGTGAATGGTGAGTAACTCATAATATCAGAAATCCAGTGCTGGCTTGAATAACAAACTTTAAACATTTTGCTACTCAGAGTATAGCTTTTCTCATTATGGAATGAAGTTCTCAGACGTAGACAATAAATGTTAGCTATTATTATAAATCCCTGGGTAGTGCAAACAGTTAATGCACTTGGCTACTAATGGAAAAGCTGGAGGTTCAAGTCCACCCAGAGGCACCTCGGAAAAAAGCCCTGGCAATCTACTTCCAAAAAATCAGCCATGGAAAACCCTAAGGAGCACAGTTCTACTC